TCTTCGACTCAAAATGCTGTTAAACTTGCCGAATTATCAAAATTTATTGGAAACTTTATAAATGTTAATACCCCAGTCTACGTCTCCTAGCACAGAACTGTCTTCATTGGCTATACTACTTTTCCCTTTATAAGTCAGTGTTTATAATTACTGAAGGTGAGCTCACAACGTCAGCGTTTTTCTCGCAATTTGACTGTCACTGGTATTAAGCCAATTTTTAGACGAAGGTAGAAAAATTTAGAATCAAACAGCTGAACTGGGGTTAATCAAATGGGATTTATAGGTTTATCTAGGCGGTACTTTCTACATTACCTTGACAGAAGACTGTTGTCAGTAGCTAGGCCGCTCATATAAATGTCTCATTCTTCAAACCCGAAGTAATTTGCGAGCCTTTGTTAATGTTTCAAACGTTAATTGCTCGTTTTAGAATAAGGTACTAAATCCTGTTAACTAATCTTCTTTTCGACGCTTTCATTTTCTGACATTTCAAGAATCACTGTAAGGGCTAAATGGAAGTCTTTTAATACGCATCGAAATGTTTTTGTTATACCCTGCTCATTCATTTCTCACTGTCCTTGCCGCAACGTAGTCTAAACCCTCCATTAAAATTTCCAGCTGCAGATCGTTTCTAGTGAAATTGCTACTGTAAATATCAGTGGCGCCTGAAAATAAGCTCCGGCTTACAGCTGAAGTCGTAAGCACGCTTTAAGACGATTTTGTCCGATTAGCTTAGTGTATGAACCACAGCTGTTAATGCAGTACTAGAGGTCGCAACTTTCTTTCAAATTCAAGATTCTTACAATGGTATCAGCATCTTTTCGGGCACCGTTCACCCACTGCCTTTAATCAATACACTCTGGTATCACTATTATGGTTATTTGTCAAAATAACGACGTCCCTCACTTTTTTTCAATTTCCTATCATTATTTAAGGTCAGTTTTTCTGGAGAAACCGTTTGCTGGCCTAAGTAAATCTGCAGCGAAAAAATTGTCTACGCAGAGTGAAAAACAAAGAAATTCAAGATTGCATTAGAACAGTGTAAAAACCACTATCATGCATTCTGTTAATTAGGTAAACCCTGTGTCACTTTTTGTCTATATATCTACACATCGGATGCATGATTTCAACACGAATCAAACTTATTTTCGTCTTGCATTGGTGATTAGCTTTAGGTTTACCGGAGTGACAAGCATGAGACTCCC